GCACTGAAGCAACTGTGCCCAGTCTTCCCTCCCCGGAGACCATGTCATATATTCTTACAGCAGAGGGGTGTCGCTTGCTATGGGCTGTCCCTCGCCACGCGGTGTAGGCAGCTGTATAGCACTAACAAGCAGAGTGTGTGCTGAAGGTCCAAAGTACTGGATTCTCTGTGCACAAGTTGGTGAACCGTGCTGTTGGTGCACACAGGAGATCCCGCTCTATTCCCAGGAGCAGGGGGAGGCCATGGCCACTCAAAAATTAGTCTAAATGGTGGGCGAGTTCCTTATTACACAGATCTGTCTGAAATTAAGACAGACTCCTCTTCCTCAAGTCTGGGGACTCTGTACCTCATCTGACATCTGAGTTGAAAGCTTATTACACGCTTTATTCTTCTTCATGTTGTTTATATTTTTCTTTTTTTTAAAATTATTTTAACTTTGGAAAGCTTTTGTGGGATAGCTTGTATGCAAAAGAGCTGAAAGCTTCCAGCTGTTTGAGAGTGTGGATGTGTCACAGGCCAGGCCCACCCAGCGCCCTTCACTTGACATACGTTCCTCATACGCTGAGCTGTGACCAGATCAAAGAGGGGGTGGGTTTGTTTCATTTTGTTTTATCTCAAGGCAGTTCTGCCAGTCCTTGAAGCACAGCTAGGTATCTTGTGACACAGCAAATCCTTCTGTCAGGGTATATTGTATTTGCAATGGTAAACCTTTCCACCTTCCTTTACATATGTGTCACAGCTAGTGACCCCGTTGTCAATACATCTAATAATCCTGATTTGCTGGAGGTCAAAATTGATATGAAAAAGCAACACAGGGTTAAAAAGTGTTTCCTTTTAGGATTCACTGAACAAGTCTTTTTTGTTATTCCCTCCAACATGTAGAATTTCTAATGTATTTGTTAGAAACCTAAAACTTTTTAGAAGCACCTAGAGCCAAGACTTCCCATCTTCTCATCTGCAGAAGTTTGAAAAATATATTCTGTGTGCAGTGAGTTCCTCAAAGGGTCCCATCCAGTCTATATCAGTCACAATTAAACTGGATCTCAAAATAGCTATCTGTTGCTGAAAAGTGGTTTCGGACTGCACCTTTATCGGCAAGCCTCATTTTACGTAAAAAGCTCTCAGCCAAGTTGAATGAAGAGTTGGTGCTTGTAGTTAAGAAACAACTCTTAAGTTTGACCTCTTAATTATCTTTAATTAACTGCAATGCAAGGTAAAACTAGCATTACTTATTATTTTCATTTACAATATTAGCTGATTGAGGTCTTTGAATGTTTCTATTATCTGTTCATCCCAAGAGAACAACTAGAGAATAAACATTAGTTGGTAATGACGTCCTGACTCAGATGTGTTGTGAAGAAAGAAGGTTATAGTTATGTACCTGAAGCAAGGGCTGTCTGCACTGGGCCACAGTAGCCTCCATTTCCTAGACACTTTCAGGGCTGCTGCTCTGATAAGTTCCTCCCACAATGAACCTCTTTACCTGGAGTATTGTCTTAAGTAAAGAAAAGTATTTGAGAGCCAGACAAAAAGTATTTGAGAGCTAGTCAGAAACACAGATCCAGGCAAAATGTTAAGTGTATAAATGCCCTTCTGAGCTTCACTTTCCGCATCGCTCAGCCTTTGGGCTTGGGTTTGAGACCCTAAGATTTGGAGAGTCCTCTTGCTATAGGCTTTGCTATCTGCCTCTCATCTTTTCTACCGTCTCTCTAAAATCACAAGTCAGATAGACAGCTCTCTGTAAAACTTGTCAGTTGTAGCCTATTATATCGGCTGGCATCTCAAGAAATCTCAGCCTCTAGCTAACTGGACAGACTGGTTTTTGCAGCGTGTTCAACTTCATGGGTCAAAGGGGATTCCACTTGAACTGGAGGTCATCCATGCTTGATGACTTCCTACACTTACCACTATACAGCGCACTGGTTATCTGCTTACTCTCACAGGCTTGATATCAGTTAAGTTGTCCGGTGGCAACAAAGTAAGTATTCTAGCAGCTCCTACAATAGCTACATAACTTTAAAAATTAAAAAATTTACACAAATGCATATTAGATACTCCCTAATTTATCACAATTTGTAATTAGAAAATGAAATGGCTCCAGAAAAAGAATGAGGAACAAAAGAGGCAGAGATTTTTAGGAAACTTGATTATGCAAAAATAGGAATGTTTTGATTTCAGTCCCTCTACATGGGAAAAATAACTGATCGCACTAATAGGGGCATATGCAATTATCTCTAATTTAAATGCATCTTTTTTTAAAAAATGGAAATATGTGTTAAAATGCTCTTTTAAACTATAGACTTATTCAGTGCACATGGAACACCTGTGATAGTCTAATGAGTTCACCTGAATATGATCAAATGAAAAGCAAACTGTTCTGGATACTCATAGTTACAAATTTTGGGGTGGGTTTTATTGGGGGTGGGCTTAGAGACTAAAGTGACAATATCAAATAAAATCAGTCATGTGAAAAATGAAACACCTTTTTTCAAAATAAAGCCATAATTTTACCATTGTAAAGATATATGAATGTCAGAGATGAGCAATAAGCAATATTCAGATCTAAATCTACAGTTAGATTATATTTTGTTGTTGTTGTTTGGGTCCTATCTCTAACAAACAATAAATACTGGAAGAAAAATAACTGATGCTTACATGCATTTCTAATTAAAGGCTGGCAAGCCTTTTTCAAAAAGGACAAAAACACTTGCAAACAACCATTCTCCCCAAACTAGAACTAAACCATTTAAATCTCCTCTCACTCTTTTCATTCCTCGTTACTTTTCATTTATAGACACTGGCAGGTGCCAGCTGGGGCACAAGACAGAAACAGTAAACTGCAGAAGATGGCTATTTGATGTTTCAAGCATAACCAGAAGCTGGCTCTATTAGGGGGGGAAAAAAAAACCAAATTCAAGCATAACCAGAAGCTGAATCTATTAGGGGGGGGAAAAAAAAACAAACCCCACAGAAAAACAGAGGTTCTGAGATCTTCAGCCCCAATTTGCAGATTTAATGTATCTGATTAGTTTAGATAATAATCCAAGCTATTCTCATAGATGTAGTGCATTGTTGCAGGAAATCTCAAAACATTTTGCTGTGCACCTTTCTCACGTCTATAAGTAATTTTTTTTTATATCAGCAGGTAACACTATATCCTTTTGCTGTAAATTAATAGTATGAGTTTTGAGCAAAAGTTAAAGATGTGCTTGTGAATTATTTGTCAGTTATTCTCATGATTCTTTTTTTGCTGACTTGAGAACCTAAAAAGAATAGGTTGAATTGTTTAAGTGAAATTAGGCAAAGATTTAGGCTCTAGGAATAGTCTTTAAGTACCAGACCCGTGACCACTAGCCTGTCGGATCAGGATGCTCCATGTTGTTGTATTACAGGGCTGCTGAAAATACGGAATATCCTTCAATTCCAGCTGACATAATGAAAGGATCGGATTTTTCTGTTCTGTTAATAAACATTGTTAAGACTAAAATTAAGCTTTGTTATTTATTTCAGGATTCCAAAACCTGACAAGTACTCAGTTATTTAACTGTCCTTTTTAAGCAGGTCTCGTAAATTGGGATTAATTGTCACTAATTACCACAGTTGGTCTAAAATCAGTAGCAGAAGTAGGAAGGTCCTGCTCAGCATAAGCCTAATACTCTACTGTTGCCTTGAGCGGCTACATGTCTGCTCAGCCTGAACGACGGACTGCAGGCACATAATCCCATAATGTTAGTGCAGTTACTTCCTGATTTTGTTCAGCTAATTCTCATCTAATTCCAATTTCCTTTGAAAAAGTTATTTTAATTTTTAAAAGGCAGCTGTAATTACTAATGCTGAAGCTGGAAGATAGTTTCTTTTTAGCAAAGCTCTATACATTACTCAACCTTCTGCATAATAAGGTTTAAAGAAATCTTTTTAAAAAAGAGAAAGAATACTCTGTTTGTACTTGTCTTTGTAAGCAAAGGTTGCAAGAGTTTTGGTAGCCTGATCGTGCATCAGAGATGAGGTAGGCAAGGCTAAAATGTGGAATGACAGACAATTTATAATGAAGAATGGAAGGCAAAATTTTTTTAAGCCCTTTTTGAAAAAAATCATTGCTTTCCTTTATTGGTTTTAATTAAATCTTCAGCTCAGGTCTAATAAAAGATGCTTAGTTTAGGTGAACAGGAAGAACATACACTGTGTGAAGAAACTAAAAATATATATGCATTCTATAGAAGTTTCTAGTATGACCAGACTTCCAACAGGTTTCACCTGATATTGACTTGATTTTAGTGGTGCGGTTTTTTGAATGAGAAGGGAGGTGGGATTCTAAATGATACTTGCTGAGTGGAAAATGAAATATTTAACTTAAATTGCCTTGATTATGAGTAAAATTTTAATGAGGTCAGTGCAGCTAATAAATAAAAACAATCTTTGATTCCAGATATCAGTCCATGTAACTGGAGTCCTGAGATCACGAGTTTTTACAGCTCAGAGTCACAGATACTCTAATGGTTTCTTAGATGGCCTGGGCCTGGGAATGTATCCTTCCCCCCACCGCTACCTCCCCAGTATAACTGCAAACATTATGGGAATGAGGTAAACTGTCCACTGATAAAACAACTCGTGTAACATCAGAAATCAGAGGGCATTCCCATTATAGCTATGGAGTGTCGTAAAGTCAGTTCTGAACAAAATGTTAACATTGAAATATTCTAAACTGTTAATTGAGGTAATGATGTTCTTTCCTGATGCACTTACTCCTAAATCAGTTGTTTAAACTGCACTTAACTGTATTAAGGAGGATAACACAAATCACACCAAAGAGCCCTGTTAAAAAGGGAGGGAAACTTCATACACAAATGATTTAGCAACTAAACTACTTATTGAACATACATTAAGCATTTTTGATGTGTGAAATATTACTGGAAATGCATTTCCTGTATTTTTCTTAATTTATATAAATGGGTGTTCAATCACATAGTAATTTTAATGCTGGCTTTGTTTAATATCTTACAGGAAGCTTCAAAAGATGGTGCATGACATCAAGAAAAATGAAAGTGGGATAATAAACAAGTTCAAAAAGTAAGTTTGAAATGCCAATCCTAGCTTTATCAATTTGGGGAAGTTCAGATTGCTAGCATAGTGTATAGTACTTTAGTGATGGGACTGTGTTATTCTAGAGGCATGTGCTTCAGTGTATGTAAAGAGCTTCAGTCCAGACTTGAACATGCAGACTTATCATCAGTATTAAGAGTATCACAAAGTAGTTGCAGAACTGGCCTCCAACAGGAGGTTGTGTTTGTAGCCCTGAAAAAAACAGTATTTGGGTAAAATGCATTTTTCTTACATAGTCTTTGGGAATGACCATCGCTGCTTGTTTGGGTGTGTGCCTTTCTCCTCAGGCCACTGTTTAGGCTACCTGCTGCAATTAAGTTTTAATTTGAGCTCCACCTTGAACCAGCTGGTCAGACATCATAGTTAGAATTCTCATAAAAATGCTAAGTCCTCCTGTGTTTCAGTCCCATACAACAAACCCCAGCATTACCTAACATCCTTATTCCAGTAAGAAGTGCTAAACAGCATGTATATTGATGTCACGTGCATCATATCATAAAATATTCATGTGTATTTATACACAGAAAGAAATTCCAGTAATTCTGCATCCTTGTCAAATGAATACACCATTCACTGTTTCCAGTCAAACATCTATTTAAACCAATTAGCTATTTAGCACACTTTTTCTTTATGCAGTAGCTCATTTGCATTGAACTTCCATTTGGATGTGATTTTTTGCATTCAGATGTCTTTCTTTACACGGGTCATTGACGAGAAAAGTACTAAGTACTTTTAAAAGTTAAATAGTACACAATATCTGCAGTATTTCCAGGACAACCATATTAAATTCTAGAAATTCAGCTTTCGTACATAAAAGGCACATATAAAAATTGTTTAAAATTGTTCTTAAAGAGTGACCATGATGGTTCAGTTCAAGGAAGAAGAAGGAAAAAAAAAAAGTGTGGTTTTAACAAGAGCTAATTCTAGGTATATACAAAGTGGTGAGTAGGTTGGTGGGAGAAGCAGTAGGGCTGTGCATGGTTTGGCTATGCAAGAGCTCCAGAAAGCCGGGCTGGCTACAGCTACTGCCCCTGCTGCCAGCCCAGGCAGGACTGGTGTTTGTGGGGCAGCTGCTATCCCTGGCAGAGGAGGGAGATACACTTCTAGGAGCAGCATCGGCCACCTGGCTCACCCGTTCCCCAAGCAGGAGGGAGTAACCTTAGGTTGCAAGCCCTCCTTTGTGGCCTCTTTATCGCAGCTGTGTTTCTGTCCACAAACCTTGAGCAGGCTCTGACGGTAACACCTGATATATCAGATAGATTCTTGAGATCACTTTTTTCCTTCACTCATCCTCTTTCGCTCTAACACTGCTGCAATTCACAGTAAATCACAGTCGTGTGGTATATGTACTAGTTATTCCCACACAAGCACAAAAGCAAATTTTCCCTTAAAATGACCCTCTTTCAACTACTTGGATCTTTAATTTAATCTATGTGAGGTTTTGTTTTTAACACAGTGTGTATGTAAATAGATCACTGTGCTCAGAGATCCGTCTGCAAAAAACTCATAGTTTCACCTGGGACCTGCTCACAGGGAAGAGCTTTTAGGCTGTAAAGGCTTTTGGTGGGTTTTTGGAGGGGAGGGAGGTGAGAGGGATTGGGGTTTTGGTTTTTTGTTACTTTTTAATAAAGGGTGGCTTCCTACGTCACAGTAGTAGTTTAAGTGTAGTTAATAACGTTGCAGTGGGTCCAATTCAAATGCCTCGGAGAGGAAAGCAGATGACAGAAATAAAAGCATCTCAAACCTATAATTTGAGGCAACAAATTGTCTCCCATAGTTGCCTGGACATGAGTTCTGCTGTTAATCAGTATTGGTCTGACTGTGTGTCCTTCCCTGAGAGTAAGGGAGGACAGACAAGGGAAAAATAACAAGAACTAAACGTAGCTGAAGCTGGGAAGGTCAGAGGTGCCATCATTAAATGTCAGATACAAGATTGCTGCTATAACGCTGCAATTCTTTGATTCTCTCAAGATTGAAAAAAATTCCACAAAAAAGAGCAGGCTCATAAAAACTCTCTTAATGTATGACTGCAGCACAAAGCTTACAGTTCACCTTCCCCAGCTATAAGAATACAAATTGAGATGTAAAAAAAAAAAAAAAAGGTAATAATCTTTCTGATACTTCTATGGTTCATCTGAGTCATATTAATCTCTTCTGCAATTATGAAGATCAGAAACTTACTCTTATTTTTTAAAAAAATCGAAGAATAAACTCTCACATTTGCACATGACTTGAGAACTCAAATCTCGAACCCAGCACATAATGAGACTTGCAATAAAAGCATGAGTTTACAACACTAAGGATATGTACAAGAGGTGCCAAGCTTTGCAGAATTAGAACTGGCTGTATTCCTCTAAATGTGCCCTTTGGGGGCTTTTTGTTTGATTTTTAGTAGATGCTTTTTCTAAAAAAATGCAGTTATCCAGTTGATCACTTCCTCCATTTCAGCTATAGGATTATTTTATTAAATGTCGAGGATCTAAACACGACTGAAGCAGGAAAAATTGTATAAAAAATTGGCTTTATGTAGCACAGATTTGGAATTTGTCTATATGCTGGGAAAAAAAAGATCATTTTGGCTCAAATTCAAACCTATTATAAGTAGAAATAATTTTAGAGAAGTCAAATAAAGCCTAAAGTTGTCACACGTGTACTGTAAGCCTCTGAAACTGAAAGAATGATCAAATACTTATGAAATGCATTTGACTTATTACCAGTATTTGTTAAGACAAGTCTAAAATCTGGATTGGCTCTTGATTGTGCAGAAAAGTAAGAAGTTCTTGCATGAAGTGTCTTGCTTTCCAATCTAGTTCATCTGCGGGGTGCAGGGGGGAAGGGTTATGTCTGCCATCCATCTGTGCCTTAAAGGTCTGTGGAAAGCAGTCTGAACAGTGGTGATAACGGGAAAGAAAACTACAGATTGTTTCTTCACTGCTTAAAAGTTCCTGTTGTTTAGTCCCCATCCTGACTCAAAATTTTTCTGACAGCAAAAATATTGCCCACTGTAAGTTACCATTCACCTGCTTGCCCTTAATCACATGCAAAACTGTTTACAATATTGGAGTCCCAGCTGCTGTGCGGATCATGATGTCAAAGAGGATTATGTACTCAGGTGTAGAAGCAATAGGCATAGCCAAAGTTGTATAAACAAAGAGAGCTGGGGGCTTTTTTTCATATTCACATCCTTCGTAATACAGAACTGGGAAGTAAGAGAGAAATCGTAGATTTCACTCTGCAGGATAGTTGCCTATGCTTGAAACACACTGTAAAGACGTAGCACTCATCTGTAAATCATAAGCTTTAAGCCTCTAGGCTTTGTTCAGTGGAATCCTAGCTCCATTGAAGTCGATGCTAAAAGTCATACTGCATATACAGCAAAGTCAAGATTTCACCCTAATATTTTGGTACGTGCTGACCTACTGTGTTCAATAAGAAACTAGAAGTTCAGGTTACTCACCTTGTAGCAATATCACATCCTATCAAATCTTCCTTTGCAAAGCCATCAGAAATCATGCACTTGTAGTTATTCGTCTAACTGCACACAACTCAAATACGTGCATTTCTTGAAATCACATTTGCCATGTTACCTGAAAAATGGAAAGAAAATGCATCTTCATCTCATCTGCTTTACCCAGCTTTTTAGTTGGGTAAGTTTTTACTTCAGATTTGTCTGGCCCATTTTCCTATACCACTTATAACTTAGGCGGTAACTTCAGGCAGAAAAAGGAGTTGTGCCACTAAATGTCTCTTCAACCTGCGTAGCTGCAACTAGATGACATCCATGATAAAACCCTTGGCAGAGGGAAAAGTGGTATTTTATGGACTAAACAATGAGAGAAAAGTACTAAAATCAAGCTGTACCCCACTTAGAAAGGGAAACCAGGGAAAAGTATAATACCTAATTTTAACTGTATTCTGAAGAAATACTAATTTCGACATGTAACTGAATAGAATGTTTTGAGTGTCAGGATTTTTAGTAATATAACAATATTTCATCAAAGTAAAGATTAATAAATCACAACTCCATGCCATTTCACTGCCACAGCACATTATAAAGAAAATGTGCAAAAGAGTAGTAATAACACTTTAAAAAAAAAAGTTTCAGATTAATTTTTTGTACAATCACCAGATACTTCCAAAGCTATAACAAACTATTCCACTAGGTCATGAGAACACAGCTCAGGAAAAGTTTATCTGTCAGCTGGATTGCACCTGTTTGGAACTCTGAAAAAGTTTTCAGCAAAGTTCAATTAATTTATCTTTTAATCACAAGTGTGATGATCTAGTGCACTTAGGACTAATACATACTATAAATATTCAACTTAGTAAAGATGTCAATATAATTTTTGTAAAACTTAAGTTAAAATGCTTCCTAAGAAGGGAGTGGACTTTGTACAGAATTAACAACAGAAAAAGTGAAAGACTCTTGAAAACAAAGAGGTTCTAGGCACATCTTAAATGCTAGGAGAGTGAGCAGAAACACTAGTGAGGAAATGCATCTGTAGGAGAACTAAGTGCTACACGTAAAGGGCTACTGCTACGTACATTTGGTAACTTTTCTGGGTGTAGCCTGTAAAAACAAGTGTTGCTAGAGCAGAAAACCCAGACCTCTGCTGCAGTTTATTTAAAAATTCTCCATTTAGTGCAGGAAAACACAAAAATATGCTATGAACTCGAAGCACGTGATTAATATTTGCAATTCCTACAGGACTCCTTACATGAGAAAAGTTAAGCACATGCCTAAATGCTTTGTTGGATCAACCTCAGCATGCTATAGAGGGGAAATCTCGGAATACACTGGTTTTTAAAATGAAATGGTTTATTCTCATAAAAGTTATTGTGAATTTCTGTACATTGCATTCTGCTCTTGTGTGAGCAGCATCTAGACCCCATTACATGAAATGTCTCAAATGCTACCTGTTTATTTGTTGAAGCTAAAATGTATATAGTAAGATGTGTTATGTTGCTTTTAAAACCTGTAAACATAATCTCAGAAATGTACTTGGATTTTATTGAGTCCTTTAGAACTGAAATTTCTCAGGTATATTTCAAAATCTCCAGAAAATTACTTATTTTCTATTAAATTTTAGAAAAATACTAGTCCCATTAAAGTAAATGGAAACTTGAATTATTTAATTGTGTTCTATCACAGCTAATACAGAGATACTTCACCACCTATAACTTAAGTCCAGAGCGGAGTAGCACTAGAATATCTTACTTGGAAATTGCATTTGCTATAATTTGATATAACTCTGTTAAAAGATGGGTTAGGAAATCATTCAGTCTTCCACTGAAATATGTATGCTCAGTTGGATGGCATTTGATTCTTTCAGTCCTTTCTCATTAACTTCAGGGGAACGGGACGGAGTCAAGTGTCACTCTGCAAGCATCTATGTGGATAATTATGTCAGAATCTGAAATAGCTAGGTAACTACTCCTTGACATAGAGGTTATGTCTTTTGAGTTTGCATTGTGGTTTGCACATTGGGTAAAGTTCTGGCTCTTGCAAAGATGAAGCTCCAATTGACTTCAGAAGAGCCTGGATTTCAGTTCTGGCACTCAGTAAATCATACCAGTACAGTGAGAATTATTTTTTTAAGTGGATTTGAGTTTTAGAATAAATAACATATTTGACGTGATTCTAGCAAATATAGATGTGGCCGTGAACTGTTTCAGCTCTGTGACAGAAATATTATTTCTTTTCTTCTATTGATATTCAGGTTCCAAAATGAACAAGTGGCCTTAATTTGCAAAACTGGGAAAGATACTTGGGATCGGTATGCTATTTCAGAGCTGCACAATGGCATGATAGGCTGCTTAGACACAGACCTCTGTTCTGTGCTTTGTATGCTGTCGTTATAACATATTTACATTTTCTATCGGGGCCACTGCCAGGATTTACAGGGCCTGGGACAAAGTGTTGAAACCTTCTGCTTAGCAGCTTGGAAATGTATAATGTGGCTTAAGCCACATACTTTACACTGTGACCCAGACAGCCTCTTACTATTACATCAGTTCCACTATTTTCCAAGTCTCCACCATCTCTGAACAACTCACAATAGACATGTTGCAAAGTATCAGAAATAGTGTGGCCAGCAGGAGTAGGGAAGTGATCGTGCCCCTGTACTCGGCCCTGGTGAGGCCGCACCTCGAATACTGTGTTCAGTTTTGGGCCCCTCACTACAAGAAGGACATTGAGGTGCTGGAGCGTGT